GGACTACGGAATCCAGCTTCTGGATAGCGGAAGACGATCGTGGGAGATCGAGGATGTTCCAGCGATTCAGAAGTCCGAATACACTCCTCATGAGTTACAGTGTAATGACCACTACAATGCCACAACCTCTAAAGATCTAGAAGGCAGACCACTCCTCCGGATCCTTTTTGACTGCATCATGATCTTCTAAGCAATTACCGGGCCTTTGCTGCGTGGTAAGCCTTAATCGATTCTGTTGAGCCGGACTATATGATATTGAAGAATTCATTTTCCGAGAGTTTGAAGTCCTTCAATTCGACCAGTGACCTTTACATAGGATGTTTGGAAAGGGCGGAAGTGGAGATAGCAATTGACACATGCTCTGAGCTGTCATCCAGTACGACAAGAATACTCGCGGCAATCAACGCGCATCTCACCATGGAATATCGTGATCGAATGAAGGCTATCGCGAAGATACATTTAAGTCCATAGCCGATCAAGACACGATCCAGCATCAATTCAATCACCAGACGTACACAGCAATCCTGTGAAATTTCATTTCGCCAGTCAGCGTGGTCCGCCAAACAGTCTCTTGACATGAGTGGAAAGAACCGAAGATATCCACAGTCCCAGCGTTAAAATATCCGCCAGTGTCTTATTAGCAGCAGCGGCTGGCTTAACGCCGCCTGAAGAATTAATTGCTGCGTGGTAAGCCTTAATCGATTCTGTTGAGCCGGACTATATGATATTGAAGAATTCATTTTCCGAGAGTTTGAAGTCCTTCAATTCGACCAGTGACCTTTACATAGGATGTTTGGAAAGGGCGGAAGTGGAGATAGCAATTGACACATGCTCTGAGCTGTCATCCAGTACGACAAGAATACTCGCGGCAATCAACGCGCATCTCACCATGGAATATCGTGATCGAATGAAGGCTTCCGCTTCAGTAAACACCAGTCAAATCATAAGTAACGTCGCTAAATTGCCATCAATTTCACTCCCTTAATTTGATGGGAGCGACGAGCAGTGGTTGTCTGTCAATGACGAATTCAAGGCAGCTTACCACAAAAACCCGAAGCTGTCTGAATTCCAGAAGTTTATGTACCTCAAGTGATGCGTGAAGTGGTTTGCAAAACGAGTCATCACAAATCTCGCCATCACTGAGAAAAACTATGACGTGGAACGAAAATTTCTGGAGAAAGTGTCACAAGAAAGATCGACTCAACCAGAGGACGCTTCTCAACTAGATCATCAATTTTCGAATGGTTAAGGAGGAGGACTTACAACTTCGACTACTGCATTCCACGTTCAATAAAGAGAGCCAATCGATAAGAGCTATGGATTGTGATACTCGAAACAATGTGTGGCGCCATGTCTTGTCACTAAAGATGAATGCAGAGTCACAGAAGGCATGAGAGCTTCATAATCCAGGGTCAGTATGTCTCTCATTCCGAGGCAAGCTCGAATTTTTGCATAATCGGTTTAGATCTTTGGAGAGCATCGCGCACAGTGTGTCCAGAATTGCTTCATGCAGACAAGACGTGGTCGACCACAATTTTTGAAGGGCAACGTCAAAGTTTGCCATGTGTATCATAATCTCTCCTGTTGTCAGAAGTTTCGAGATGCTCATTTACAACAGAGGAGCGAAATCGTCAAGAAGCTCCAGCTCTGTTTCAATTGTCTACATAAAGGTCATGGGGCAGCATACTGTCCATCAGTGTCCAGATGCAAGGAATGCCCAGACATTGGATGACCCACTTCAGGAGTCGCAGATCACAATTCTGCCAACTGCAGACATTACGGTTCTCACACGATCCGGAGAAGAGGTAAAATTACGAGTTTTGATTGACTCTTGTTTCTGAGTCGACGCCATTATAGTGAATTCACCCAGACGTTTGCAGATTCCAACACGGAAGTCATGCGACTGGGTCCTTGAAGTGAATCAGAAGTTCCCATGAAGACTAACGGTGAGCTAAGCATGACTACGCTTTTCCAAGACAATGCCAGACTAGAAGTCAAATGTTTAATTCTGGATAGAATCACAAACAGTTTGAGTCAAGTGACTCCAATATCCAGCGCACAGTGTGCATCTTCGCAAGACGTCGACTTGGCAGTTCCCCCAGTTTAGTCAACCAGGGGAAATCAACCTTCTATTTCGCGACTGTCCTCCCGGATCGTGGGTCCTCATGAATCTGATGAATTCTTCCATGTGCCATTGGACTACGGAATCCAGCTTCTGGATAGCGGAAGACGATCGTGGGAGATCGAGGATGTTCCAGCGATTCAGAAGTCCGAATACACTCCTCATGAGTTACAGTGTAATGACCACTACAATGCCACAACCTCTAAAGATCTAGAAGGCAGACCACTCCTCCGGATCCTTTTTGACTGCATCATGATCTTCTAAGCAATTACCGGGCCTTTTCAGGATCTCAACACGACCTAGCTTCTCCAGGATTGCATTGGTGCCAGCTCCCGGCACGCAATCTGTGCACTTCGAGAAACTGCTGATGTTCCACCATGAGAGTCCATGAAGATGTACCCTGCTCATACTGAAGGATCCCATTATAACCGAGGACGTCCAGAAGATAAACTTAGGATTCCAACGGCAAAGGAACTCCTCGCTTCTCTAAAATCGACAAATGAACTATCGTTCGAATCCTTGCTGGACTCGATGATGCTCCGCACATTACGGTTAGTCGTCAAATCATCCCAGTAGCTTCGGCAAGGTCTTCGACAGTCTGGGACTCCTGATCCCTGCAACGACTCTACCTCTCCGCACGATAGTCCAATAAACTTGGAAGGGTGAACTCAATTGGGATGATGATGTATAGGTAATTAGTTCCACTAGTGGATGTCTACTCTGGAAACGTTAGATAAGCTCAAGGGTCTAAAGAAGCCGGAAGTCCAATAAAACATCCTAAGTGATGCTTCGGAAAGTACATACGGAGCTTGTGTCCATTCCCGGACATCTTCAGGCCATACCCATGCCAGCTGTACTTCAGTTGCTGCTAAGTCCATGATCCGTGCTCGTTGCTTGAGGGTGAAGCAACATTACCCAGCCCAGAAAAAAAATTGCATGTAGTTCTTGAACAGGGGCACAACAGCGGTTCGCCGTGATGAGCTGTACAGCTCTTGTGTTGGTCCTTTCCCCCGTGGATAAATGGTCTTAAGTAAGTCACGGCTGGCACCAAAAAGTCGAAATCCATCCCATGACTGGAATTTTGTGCCATGGACATCAGATCCAAACTGCTAGACATCATTCAGACCCTACACATAAACACCAGTACGTATGCTTGGAGCGACTGCACAATCGCTCTGGTATGGGTGACTTCAACACCTTGCAAGTTCCTAAAATATGTGGCCTATCGAATGGCTAGCTGAATTGTCATCATTAGAAAGCGCCAGTAGTCATCCAGTGAAGCCATGTTCAAAGGCTTACAAGCAGTTGTTCGTCAAGTCCAGGCTAAATGCTTCCCCGAAGAACTCGCGTTCCTCAATCGTAACAAGCCATTCAGTAAGGCATCCAATATACTACAGTTAAACTGTTGTGTTGATGAACACCAGATGTTAAGAGTTGGTGGTCGAACCACAGCTCAGTTTGCCTTAATGAAGATGCGAAATACCGGTTGAATATCGTATAAATACAACTTAACCCAACTCGATGTTCGACAGTCACGAGAAGTTACTACACGCCGGACAGAATGCACCGTACTCGACAACGCTTCTGGATCATCGGTGCACGACGGATGACCAGACAAGTGACAGCCGCATGCATCAGGTGTTATCGATAGAATTGTCGAAGTATGAGCCATTGTTTGGGCGACTACCCTTAGAAAGAGTCAGTATCTCAACTCCCTTCGCATATACCGACATTGATCCGGCAAAATTTCTTACATCCAAAGAAGGACAAAAAAAGAAGCTCACCATTGTCATAGTAGTTTTTTGCTTTTCTACAAAAGCTGTTCATTTGGAATTGGTCAACTCGCTGAACATGCCTAAAATCTATAAGGAGGATCATAGCGCACTTCTTATGTCCGAAAAATATTTTCTCGGATAACGGGACTAATTTCATCGGCTCCTTGATACTTCATCAAATTCAAGAAGCTAGGTCAGAAGCGACATGGCCAAGAATGCTTGACACGATAATTGGACGAAAATAACTGCTAGAGCTCCCAACTTCGGAGGGTTATTGGATTATTGGAGGCAGCAGTAAAATCATTGAGACTGCTACACAAGAAAATAATTGAAAAATCAATAAGTCTGTGCTACGACGAGCTATATACCATCGTATGCTAAACTGAAGGAATCATGAACTTTAGGTCATTTACAGTCATTTTTGATGATCCTCGAGACATTTAACAATTTTTGTAATCTCAATTTAAGCACTCCCAATTTATGTAATCTGAAATTGACAAAGGGATGTTAACGGTGTGCAATTTTTAATCTCTTAATTATTTAGTGATATAAAATGACAATCATTTGACTTCACGTTCACAGTTTACTTAAATGGTTGTTTTCTTGTAAATTTACCGTGAAAATATATATCCAAACTGCCAGAACAAATCGAATGCGCATTTGGACCAGTCAGTCTGTCTCCCATCAAATTTAGCCATCGCGAAGATACAACTGTGATGAGGTGCAATTTTCTCAAAAGCTTCGTTACAATTTGAAACGTTAAAAATTAGTTTGTTATAAGTCTGAAACGTTTTTGGTAATCAGTTGATATGATCATTCAGAGGGGATTGATGGAACTATTAGTTTGCCTTGCTACGGATATTGGCTCTTTCTGAGTTTTCAGGTTCTTGCGAGTTTTGCGAAATCTTTAAAGTGTATCACTGCTGTAGGGGGCAATGAAGGATTTGAAGTGAATGGGTTGTAAATTCGTTCTGATCGCAACTTAAAAAAAAACACATTTTGCTGCATAACTCAAATAATATTTTTTGGCTCATTTTTATTAATTTAGTAGCACATAAATTTTGGAAAAGTGGGATTCATTATTATTTATCGAAACTGTTTAGAAAACTGATCCAGATGAAACAAATTTTCCTGCAGAATCTTTTACATTTTTGGACAAGAGTAGCGAGACCTCTAGAAACGAGGAACAAGAGCAAACAAGCGATTCCCCAACAACAATCAAATCATCTAGAGTCGTCAAAGCCTCGCAAAAACTGAAGGAAGCTACAGAATCTGACCTAATATTTACCCAAGCCATTGGCGGCAGGATTTCTTCCAAAATTCCAAAATCTATCAGTGCTATTTTAAATGGAAATATAGATAATTTGAATAGTTCAAATGAGTCAGATAAGGAGCATAAAGTTTCTCGCGCTTCTTTATCGAAGCAAGACGAAGAACTTCTGAAAAGCGGTGACGCGATTGATCTGGTTACTCCAATTTCTAGTGGAAGTACAGCTGTTGACAACATTGAAGTTGTCATGAAAATAGAACCAAATTTGGAACTGTCACCTCGACAAACACGCCCAAAGTTCAAAAGGGTTAAAGCTATTAAATCGCTAGCGGATACCACTACTAAGGAACCTCAAATTAACGAAAGTTTTGAAGGCCAAGAATCAAATTTTAATGCAAAATTAGATCTCTCCGAGAATATAATCACTTCAACGTCCAATGAACTCCTGCTAACAGAAAAGAAGGATGAGGAAGTAGAAACTAACAATGATAGAGAAAATGAAACCATAGTTAGTAGTTCTAATATTACCGAAGATTCAAGATTGGCACTCACTGAAATTAAGGTGGAACCTACGACAAGCCCGCCCATGGTAACAGTTGATACTGTAAGAGTCAGAAAGGAAATCCAGCAAGAGTTGGCTAGATTAGCTATAAAAGAATCGGACTTCCTGAAAACAGTTTTGAGGAGCAATGATAAAGCCACATTAGAAGATCTACTGGGAAATCCGATAGATTTTAGCGCATGCTCTGAAGAGGCGAAGAGACACTATGTTGAAATTGGAATGTGGCTTACTAAAGAGGATTCCAGAAAACTTTCCTTTTTCAAGGCAAAGCAAAAAAGTGCACGGGCACCAAATTATAGCCAACGAATGACATCAAGAAAAGCTTTACAAAAGTACAAAAACGCTCAAACCAGGATAAATGTCGAGAAAAGTGAACCAAAGACAAAGTGGACAAAAGATGCTAACATTGTAAGCGATGATCTTGACAGTGTTAAACTTGAAGCTGAGAGCTACTCAGAAATTGAAGGGTCGAAGCGAATGACACGAGCTAGACTGTTTGGATCTCCCGCGAAAGCTGCCGAGGAGCGTAAAAGTCTCGACATAAACGAATTATATAAGGAGCAAAAGAAATCAGAGCCTACCAAAAGGCCAAATAAAAGCCTCACAATGACTAGTGCGTCCGCTTTGATCGGAGAAAAACTTGCGAAGAGTATGAAAAGAAAAGTTAAAGGCGATAAAGTTTCTTCAAAACAGATCTCTTCTCACGCAAAAAATGAAATCTATGATAAAAACCAGAATAAAGTCACGGGCAGTGGTTCGGAAAAAGTTGAAATTAATGACAATTTTGAAAAAGTGGGATCCGAACCAAGTATAAGCGAAATTATTGCAAAAGATACTGTATTGAAATCCCAGAGTCTAGATTGTTTTCTCTCGACATCGCCCATTTTCAGTTCCGGGGACTCACAAGCAAGTTGCGACGGCCAGGAAACGGACCGAGATATATCAGGGGCGAACAAAAATATGATTTGTAGAACCAAGCATGTTAGTCGAAATGATGCTCTTTTTGTTGCTCCTGAAGATTTAAGAATACCAAAGTTGAGATTGAGTGCGATTGAAGACAAATCGAAGCTTGTCATTGATAGAAGTTTGCCTCCCGATGAAAACGAGGAGTTTACTCCTGGAAATAAATCGGTTCCAATTTCTCAGCCCGAAGTTCAAACTGTGCTTATGACTAATGAAGCTCCTCTCGTTCATGACGATGAATCGAATAAAAAGCGAAAAAGAAGCTCAAAAACTCCAACGGAAACCGAAAAACCAGCAAAATGCGCACCTGTTGAACAAGCTACTGAAAATAAATCACATGCCGAGAGTTGGATTCCTGTTAATCATTCTTATGTGACAGAAAACATAACAGCAAAAGAATCAGTAGACCTGCGTTTGGCAGAAGATGAAATGACTCGATGGATTTCAAGGATAACTATAGGAGGTATCGGAAACATGGTTGATAGCTTGGGAATTTCGGAGTTGGAGCTGCGATTTGTGAAATCGGACATGGCTTTGAAATCTCTTGCTGAACCTTGTGGTCTTTGTGATTGCTGTGCTATGGACCTTCAGTGCAACGAGTGCGCTCAATGTGTAAATGGGCCGAATGAAAAGCTACCCAAGTGTCCTTTCAAAATGTGTCTTCTGCATGTTGTTATAAGATACCTCAGAGGGTTAGTAAACGATTTTATGATATTTTATCAAGTAACTAGGAACCTCGTTTTTTTTTAAGAAAAAAGTCAAGAATTTGATAATGCTCATTTTATTTTTGGTGGTTTGAATTGATCACGTGGTTTGTCTTTTGGGTTTCTTTTATGTGCAATTCAAGTTCATGTGTTAAAAAAAAGGCAAATTACGCTCTCCAATTACGAAAGCAGAATTGGAGAGAAAAAACGTGGACGGTTTTGAAAGTAGATTTAATTTATGATTCAGGTTCTCAATTCAGGTTTTCAAATAGGAATAATTTAATTGTAAAAATGTTAACCAATAATTGTTCTTGAAATTTAAACGTGTAATATATAATTGTTTCTGTTGGCAATTTAATACCTTTTGTTCGAATTTTTTTTTTAAATATAGACTAACAGCCCTAACTCTAGGCCTGCCACAATCTGACGTAAATTGCTTTTAATAGTGGCGCGATGTGAAGGCTGTTGATGAAGAAAGAGCTTCGCTCAACAAGATAGTTTAGTCAAGAGTAAAGGGATCTTTAAAAAGCACAATGGACGATCTTTAGACAGGCGAGCAGCCTAACCCTTTGATTGAGGGTCTGCGATTTACATTATAGAAATTGTAGCAGCTGAAGGAGATTTAAAAACGGAAAACCGATCTTAAGTGCTAGTTTGTTTTTAGCGATGCATCTACCAAATCCAATCTCAGGGAGTTGTCAAATCTGTGGATATCCAACAGAAAAGCCGAACTATTGGTTCATAATATCTTGTTCCTCAGAAAGTGCATCACTTCAATGGCCGATGCAATGCCTCCCACGCCTCCCATAACAATACCGAAATCAGTGAAGTCAAAAACAGCAGTTGAGGAAAATAATGTGAAAGATGTGCCAAAAACTCGGGCCAAAACAACAAGCTCGAAAGCGAAGACTCAATCATCAACTGGCAATATTTTTGCCCTTCTTGGCCAAAAGTTGGCTAGCTCGCGTAAGCGACCGAATCCCAGTACAAACAGCAATATAGAAAGAAGCAATACCAAAATAAGTAGTAAGCGTGCAGTTGAACCCGAAACATCTTGGAAAATTTCCGAACCTCAGCCAGCGCAAGAAGTTGGAAAAACCTTAATATCAGGAAAAACCAATGAAATGTCACCTGCCTCAAAGGTTATTGTTTTGGAGAACAAAGAACCTGCGGTTTTCGAATCAATTAAGCCTCTTTTTCTCTCACTTAACGATTTTGATTGCATGTCGGAATTGTCTTCTGTTTCTTCTGAGACGGAATGGATAGCTGTCGAGTTTGCTGAAGAAGAAGTTGGCGCAACTGATATTGTTGGAAATAAAATTAACCGAGTATTTATCCCTGATCGAGTGAAAGGTAGGTTTATTTACTATTTGAAAAACTTCAAGAAAATGATATGACGGTTTGAATTGGATTTAGGGGATGCCCTTTCGTCAAAACATTTCAACTCAAGATATTCTAATTTTGAAGGTGAGCGGGACGCAAAAGATCAAATTGTTTACCCACTTACGGCACGCTTTTACGATTGCGATTACAAACGTTATTCAATAAAAAAAAAACGATTTTTTTCAGGCTATGAATTTATGTCAATGAATCACTGGATACCTTAATTATAATAAATTCAAATTCAGCGTCTGATTTTGCTCATTTCAGGAAGAGGTTAATTCGATTTCTAGGAATGTATTTGTAAAGCGAGGGTTCAATCAGGTTAGGCGCTTTTCTTTTTACATTTTGTAACTTTTGAAAAAAAAATTTTGTGTACGATTATAGGACATTTCTTAAGTATTTGTTAAGTGTTAATGAACATAGTGAAGGCGCTGATTGAGGTCGTTCTCATTTTTACACTAGCGAAGAGTGTCATATTACGGTATCCACTTTTTTCCAACCTAGGTCGCAAACAAAGGTGCTCATTACTTGGCATTTTCTATATCTAGTAAAATTTAGCTTTATAGCATTATAGTTTTGTATTGTGGCTAGTTCCTGTTGAACAAAACACGGGTATTATAAATGTATGGGATTTAGGTTTTAATTATTAGTTTTTTAGACGTTTCTGAAAGTTTTTGCGCTTTTCGAAAATATAATTTTTCTCGAGACCACGGATTTTCAAAAAGTGGTACCAAGGGTTATACCGGCTACTCACCTGTGTGCATGGATATTGCGCTGGTCTCTTATTCTCTTTTTACTTCACCGGACGTTCTATAGCTTTCGGAAAGTTTTCAATGGGTGAAATTTTACTCATTTTTGGATTATTTGTCATTTTCTCGTAAACAAATGTAAAAAACCTTGAGAGATTAAAAGTTCAACTAAACAAGTTCAGCATCTTCTATGCATATGCTACTACGCCTGGTTTTTTGGATTTTTTTTCTCAAAAATTAACATGCCAAATCCTGAGGCGAAGGATTTAATGGAAAGAACAGATTTGGTGAATCTTCGTTGCACAATTGGAGTCGCGCGAAATTTTCGAGGAAAAAAATTTTGCTTTAAAAAGGTACAATTTTTGAAAGTTTGCTTCTTTGGAACTTTTCGACTTTTCTCAAAAACTACCCCACCGAATGTGAGATAAAAGGCTTATCCGAAAACATTGAAGAGGAGTTTGCTCTGTGCATAAGCAGAAACTGCGTAAGCTCTATTTTTTCTAGAAAATTTAAGTCTAATTAGAAACTTCTGTGCCGAATTTAAGAGTAAGGGTTCACTTGAAGGAACGCCAGCTAGGAAATTTGTTTTCATAGCTGCTACACCCTAATTTTAATAGAAAAGCAATGTTGGACTTGCGAATTTTTTTTTGCTTGGAACTTTTTTTTTCAAAAGCTCTGCCAAATCTGACATTAAGGGTTCTATCCAAAAACATTTTAATGTAATCGAAGAAGAATCTGTGAGGGTATCGCCTGCTCAAACAAGTTGTTCCAACTTGGCAAGGAATCAGTTATAAATATTTGACTTTCTTCATTTTTCCAAAAACGGCCGTGCCAATTCTAAAAAAAAGATATTCATTAAAGGGATGTATAATCTCCCCTGCACTAGCATATTCTCCATGCTTTTGATAGGAATCAGCTATGGGCTTCGTAAATGTGCAATTTCTGACATTTTGAACATAACGCATTACCTTTCGCATCAAAATTTTTTTTAAAAAAATGTTATTCAACAGGTACCTCGAGCTTTAGCTGATTTCCTTATGTTTACCCTTGCGATAAGTAAGGGTATTGCAACCGGGTACTAGCTTTGGTCTCAGAATGGTCAATATAGCAATGGTAAATTTCAAGAAATTCTCAATTTAGGTACCTTATTTAGGTAGTTAAGTTGATAATTGGAGTACGTTTGGGGGCAGTAATTTTTTGAAAAAATAATGATTTTTTTCGGATTTGTGGTTTTGGTGACCATTTTGGTCACATAATGGCAAATTTAGGAATGATAAATTTCAAGACATGCCTCATTTCTTGAAAGTTCACAAAAGTACCTCAACTAGGTAGTTAAGTTAGTAGATGGAGTACGTTTGGGGCGGTAATTATTTTTTCATAAAAAATTTATTTAAAAAAATGTTGATTTTTTTTGGTTTTGTGGCTTTCGGCCAAGTTTCCGTCCGTTTATTTTCCGTTTTTTTAAATAGCATTTTTTATTATCTGGTACTAATTTTTATCAACTTAATTTGTAAAGCATGGATTTTATTTTGATTGTAAATTTTTTCTACTTTAATTGAAAGCTCTGTAATTTGTCATTTTACCACGTCTGATTTGGAATAACTTGGTTTTTTTTGGAATTTTTTTTGCCTAAATGGTTTCGGCAGATTATTCATTGGCTTAGTCAATTTATATTTTCTAATTTTAACGGCAAAAAATTTCTCTTCGACAAAATCAGGTATTATGAAAATGTTTGGGATTGGATTTTTACTTTCTATTTTTTGACACTTTCGAATTTTTTTTCTCAAATTTTAAAATGATATAAAAAAACGTCACAATTTGGAAACTAAAAGCATTTAAGCAGATGCATTTGGACGCAAAATTTGCAACTCTTGAGAGTACTCTCACTGCACCCATCTAAAAGGTCAGGAATTTCAAATTTTGAGAAAATTTTTAAATTTAAGTTGCGAAAAAAATGAAAAACCATTGAAACGTCTTTTCTCAAAAAAAACAAAGACTGGAGAAGTCATATGTGGCGGCGCGATTCGCAACCTCCTCGAGTCATCCGACAGCCCCTAACTAAAGGGTTGGAAATTTTAAAACTTGAGAAAAAAATTTTAAATTTAAGTTTTAGAAAGTTTTTTTTTTGAAAAAATTGCAAAAAGTGTCTTATCTCGAACAATTCAAAGAATTGAGCAGTCAAATTTGGAGGCAAGATTCGCAACCACTTAAATATTCTGACAGGCCACCATTATAAGGAAAGGGCTTCAAATTTCAATTAAAATTTGAAAAAAAAATTATATTTAACTGTGCTGAAAATTGCTTGAAAAAATCACAAAAGACGTCATATCTCCAAAAGTAAAAAGATTTGAATAGTCTTATTTGTAGGCGAGATTTACCACCCCCGAGAGGTCTCTGACAGCTTCCAACTTAAGGATTTCAACAAAAAGTTTAATTCAGTAGAAAACTACTTAACCGAAATTCAAAAAAGCGTATCAGTGAAAAGAGCGCCTACTCCCGTGTGCCTACATAATCCCCTTGTCTTTACCCTACTGTCTACAGCCTTCAAAAAATTCTTGTGGGAATGTTTGACCCATATTTTTAGATTTTTTTTCGTTTTATCCAGAACTGCTCTCTCAAACTGAGCATTTGGGTTCAATGGATAGAACGCGTTATGGGAAGCGCACCTGCATAGCCGCGGCGCCTGAAGTTTTCTTGTTCAAAAAGTTATGGACCCCGGAAAAGTCGACAATTTGGTTTTCGACCATCTTTTGAAACTTTGACTTTTTCCGAAAACGAAACTCTTGTTGTTGCGTTCGATCAAAACAGCAGATTGTGTGAATTTCTTCTGCTCAAGTAACTACGCCCAAATAATTTTACAGAAAGGTATGATTTGCAGAACAGTCAAATTTTGATTGTTTGACCATTTTTTGGACTTTTTTTTCGAAAACTACTCTGTCAGTTTTCATTTTCATTCGAGAATTTCGGTTTATATTGTATGTAATAGTGTATGTTTAAGCGGCCCCGACCTTCACATTGCAGAAAATTAAGTGATAGATTTCGGAAAGTCAAATTTTTGAACTTTTGACCGTTTTTTTTTTAGAATTTTTTTATTTTCATAGAAACTATCCTATCAAATTTGAGATGTGCTCAATTGAAAGAACCGTTTGCGAGACATTTTCCGACAAAAGCGTCGACTCCTTATTTTTCTCATAGGAAAGTTATATGTATTTGGAAAGATAGCAATTTCTTAACAATTTTCACTCTTCTCTTTTATTTTACTGGAAAAGCTACTAAGGTTTCGGGCAAAATCCAATTTTTTGAAGTTATCCATTTCATTCAGCATAAGTAAAATAAATTTAGGAAAAAAAGGACCTTTTTTACCTTTTGTTTCACCTTTTGACCCGTTTCTCACTACTTTTTGCCTGTTTCTCGCTTGATTGCGAAATGCAGCTTCGCCCCTGTGTTTTGTTTTTGTTTTCTGAATTTTTTGTAAAGTGGAAAAGCTCAAGTTTTGTTGTGAAAGCTCAATGCAAGTAAGGCAAATAACGCTTTCGAATAACGAGTTAATGGGCGCAAAAAAGGCGAATGACTTCTAGTTTCAAAAATGGTTTGTTATTTTGAATTCCCAGTGGAATAAAAATTATCTTTTCATTTAGTTTCACACTTGAGAATGAAGTCTTGAAATCAAACTAGTCGCCCTTTTACTACTTTGAATACATGAGTCTAAAATCTTATTTCATTTTTAGGCACTATGAAATCGTGTGCCAATGGAACTCCCGGACATGGCAACAGGAACCCAAGAATGACATTAAGGTCATCAACCGATTCGGCCCTTCAACTGGCCTTTCCGGGGTATGATTCCGCATCTTCCCCTGGCAGGTCGTCTGGCGAAGGAAGTCCTCCTGATTCACCAGACGAGAAGTACTGGAGCTTTGCAGCTGCAGCGGCGTCTATAAATTACGAAAAGAGTGACCTGAAAGTGTCAGTTGAGATTCCTGACTACCATTACAATGATAGAATGTACCTTCACAAACATGGATTGCCAATCATTGGTAAGCATATATATAATTTTTGATCCAAATAACACCTGGTAGAAACGTTAGTGAATGCAACAAATTTTCACGTATTGTTTCGACCACTTCACGTCGTGGTAAGGAACAAGGGTGCTTGAATTTAAATAAACGTACAATTTTTTTAAAATTAGTTCACGCCAAAGGCAATCTTTTGCGGTATGACTTTTGATGTTTTAAAAGTCACGAACGTAGTAAATGCTCTTTTATAGACCTTGGTGATTTTTTTGTTTGTTTTTTTTATTTCAGGAAAAATCTTGAAATTTTTTGACGCTATAACTCGATTTTTCGGGGCTTGTCCTAAAATTTCTTTTTAAGCTAACTTTATTATAAGTGTAAAAGTTACAAAAAAACGTGATCAACTTCAGTTTCGAAAGTGGACTTTGTTTTTAGATTTCCTATGGAATAAAAAATTTTCTATTGATCCAGTTTTCTCTATTTGGGTTTTTTAAATCAAAAATGTCTGAGATTAAGTTTTAATTGAAATTCAAAGAGCTTTAAAGCCAACTACCTTCTTCTTTGCAATTCGGATAAAAACAAGTTAGTAAGTTTTTTTTCTGGTTTCTTGATGTGTTTAAAAAGTGCAGTTTGGCCTCTATTTTTACTCGAAATTTCATTTCAGGAACAGCCCAGTTGCCAGTGGCTTCGGTCTGTCTGATATGCTCCAGTGGGGGTCAAGAACCTCTTCTATATTGCTCAATTTGCTGCGACCCTTTCCACGTATTCTGCATAGACAGAAAATATCGACCGGTGTCCCATGACAAGGCGTGGAACTGGGTGTGCAGAAGCTGTTTCTCGTGTAGGGTCTGCGGCCAGGGAACCCAGCTGGTCGAATGTTTCGTATGTCAGACACATTACCACCTGTCTTGTTTATCACAGAAGGAAGGTGACCGCAGAATAGTCTCCTCAAACTGGAAATGCCCACAGTATGTTTGAATTAACTTGGCAACTAGCTGGATTGTCTCCATGAATCATTCGGCTTGCAAAAAGTAGACTGTATTGAGCAAGCGGCAAGCTATTCACAAAATGACTTTTGAACAATTTGAGTCAATCCACATCGTGATTTCTAAAGTTTTCTCCAAGCAAGCTAATAATTCCAAGCAAAAACATAGGCAAGCTAGAAGAGTTTTTCTAGGCAAGCCATCAAGCAATAAAACTTAAAATTATTTCGAGTTCTCTCATAGTGCGAATTGGTTGGCGAAACATTCAAGCGATTAAACTTTGAAATATTTCTTTCAATGAGCGAATTTATTTGAGAAAGTTATTCTAAGCAAGCTATTCAGGTCATGAAACATTGCAAATTACTTGCATTTCATGTTATTTCATAAAGTGAATCAGTTAGCGGAAAGTTTAACTTGATCGAGGCAAGTTGCTCAAGCGATGAAACTTGGAAAATTTCAATTATTTCATAGAGTGAATCGGTTTGCAAAAAGTTCAAGTTTTCCTGAGCAAGCTATCAAAGCGATGAAACTTCTGATATATAGAAAATGTTTTCATAGCTTGGATTGCTTAGCAAAAAATTCAGTTATTCAAGCGAGTTATTGAAGCAATGAAGCTTCGAAATCTAGAACATTCTTGGCCTTCTCTTTAACGCGGACTTCAAGAATTTTCTTAAACATCGCGCTCGACGAAAATAAAACGTAGCGGCTGTCTATGCAGAGTCAATAGCGCACTCCCGCTTTCATTTAATATTTGAGATGAGTTTGGGGAATCATTGAAAGTTTAAAGAATGTCCGTTGCTTTCTTACTTTCGAAATTTATTCTTAACTACTATATCGGAACATAAAGACGAAACGAAGCGTAAAAGTTAGATTTGTTCTGTCCTAATTTATTTAGATGCCTGAGATGTGAGTCGTGTTACGGCTTTCCGGAAACCCAAATTGAAATGAACGGTGTCTCACACAATCTCTGTAAGTCCTGTTACAAGAAAATCCAGCAGGGTCAGTACTGTCACCTTTGTCTTCAAGTATTCGCAACCCCTCTTTTTTCGTTGATTGAAAACCAGCCGGGCAGTTCGACGACAGATGATGAAACAGAATCGAGGACGACGGTGTCGAGTAGTGATTTTGATGAACCGAGTGGTCTGATTGACGATTGTGGCGTGCTGCAAGATCAGTTGGATCCGAACTTTGAATACATCAAGTGCAACAGCTGCTATAAGTAAGTTCATTGTCAATAAGTGCGCCTCGATGATAGGTTTGTGAAAAAAAAAACAGCTTCAAACTGGGATTTTTCTAGCTAGTCGCGGGTCCATAGTTTTTTTATGAAGTACGTCTGTGTTGATTCGATAGAAAATCTAGATGCCTTAGCGTGCTATCAAGTGTCCTTGAACGCAGTGAAGTGAATTATATAGGTAGAGATTTTTTCGATTTCAGATAAAAAGTGAAATTTTTTTCACGCTGAAGATTGATTTTTTTGCGGTTTTTTTATTCTTTTTTTAAACATTTGCGAGAGCAAGTGTCTTGTAATCGTGAACTAGACTTTCCCCATGAACTTTTTCCATGAACAACTTTTTTTTACAAGTCTTACCTGCTTTGCTTCTCATATTTGCTGTATTATTGAACAGATCTTTATAAGTGAGGTCCGTTCCCACTTGGCATAGAGGTAAACCCGTCGCCTGTGCATCCTAAGGCGAGGGGTACGAGTCCCGAGTGGACATTTTTTTTCTGTAAGTATCGTTGGTCTGCTCAAATTTTGTCTGCTTAGCTGATATAACACGGGTTTTGCTTGTGTTGTAAGCAACCTTCATCGTAGTTGCAACTGTTGTGCATTGTAGTTGCAAGGGGGATTTAAAATTCTAGTTTTTTAAATAAATTTTTTTCGGCTTAACTTGTGTCTGCTTTAGGATTGACGGCTTTGTTTCCTCGTAAGTTATGTTCCCTTGCTAATTAAACTTGCGAAGCAAAGTGTATTAGTACTAACTTTCTTTTTTTCCAACCTAAGTCGCAAGTATTGGTGCCATTTTTGGGGCACTTTTACAGCTTTTTGATATCATGTGCTTTGGCATTTGATTAGTAAAAAGTTAACATAGCTGATGCTTTTAATTCATCAAACGAAGCGAAAAAAAATATTGATTTCAAACAGCAGTTCAATGATAAAAAGCTCGATTTCAGAAATTTTCCAACTCATTTTTTGAAACGCATAATTTATACATAATTTGGCTTTATGCTTTCCAATTAATTACATGCAAAATTGTGTTGCTGCATCGAATTGGCAATTTATTAGCATATATAGCTGCGTTATTGGTGGCTAGTTTTTGGAGATTTTAAGCAACCGTGGCTGAGTGGTTAGTGCGTGAGACTCAAATTTGCTAGGTCGCAGATTCGAATTCGACACGTAGCTGAGTTTTTGCTAATTCGAGGCTTATATCTACTGTTTCCTGTTTCATTTGGTAGAGCTACTTTTTGGTCGTGTTGTCGAAAGTAAGCGCAACTTTGCCTGTGTTGAGTTTTCAAGTTTGTGTAATGTTTGCCTAGAATGGACTCCTATCGAGTCATAAGAAAATTTAAAATCAACATTAAAGCAATTTTATTTGTTTTTTATTTTCCATTTTTCGACTTGCTTCGCTTCGGCTTTGTGTCCCCTATCAAACTGCAAAATTTTAAAGGTGACGGAAAACGTGAATAACTTAAAGTTCATAAATGGACTTAAATTTTCTGAATTCCCAGCTGAATATAAAAATGTTTAATTGATCCAATTTTCTCAAATTGAGATAACTGTATCCCCAGGAATTTAACTCCCTTTTGATACTACTTCACCGCATCCATTTTTGACTGATTGACCTCCTGCAAACTTGCGCCAATATTTTCTAAACGTGAGGGGGAGTGCGCCAAAAAACGCAATGTTTCAACCAACATTTTGCAAAAAAAACCCAAAAATGAAATTTTTGACCCATTTTTTCGATAATTTGCCAGCGGCTGAGAATTTTTGTCTAAATGGGCTGTTTTTGGTGAGCTAGGATAATCCATTTGGTCGACCTTAAGAAAAGTTTGACGAATTTTTCACAAATTTTTCTAAAATGAAACCCCCACCCTAGAGAAAATCCTAGATCTGCCTCTGGAAGGCCATATTTTCAAAAAGCAGCTAATTTTCGCTTGGAAATGAAAAATCATGATTCTTAATATCTAGATATATCAATTAAATCGTAAATTTTGAATTAACAGATGGAGTCATAAAGAGTGTGAGAAACTCACTGAAGAACATTGCGACCTTATCAAAGTCATGATGAACAGAACTCAATCGTCTAATAAGACATCCCAAGACTATCTCAACGATGAGAACCCTTCCACGGCTTCTGATTGCATTCCATTGGCTTTGAAGAATGTGCGCTTCAATTTCCAGTGTTTGGACTGCACAGAAGACGAAACTAGCTCGTGGCTGTATAAAGTTCAAGGGTTTCTCAGGGTAATCTTTTTTACGCTTTCCACTAGTTAAAAATTCAGATCGTTTTACCCAGTTTTTTGACAATTTTTTTATTCCTAGGTTTGTTTCATTTTAGGTGAACTTAAAGAACATTCTGGCCTGTTTATTGCGGAATAAGAAATGCCATCACTTGGTTGCGGTGAAACCGGCATCCTCTGCTGACGAGCGCAAACTGGTTCTGAATGATGAAAAGAAAAAAAGTGCCGAGTCACGAAGCAAAGAAATAGGATTGAGGACTCTTGTGGCGTCGACCAAAAATGGCGACTTCAACTCGCTTTTAGAATTCCATCAAGCTGTTATGGGGATTGTAACGTTTAGTGTTGAAGTGCAAAGCAAGTTCATACATTTGACGGATGAATTTACGAAATCTTATTTCTATGAGCTGAAGAGGAATTTTCCGTTTTTTGAGGCACCCCTTATTGATGTATACAAGATTCAGAAAGAGTTGAGGCAAAAGAGAACTGCAGCTGGAAGTATTATGAACTCTGTTGGAAGTCAGAAAAGTGTTCAAGTTGTAAACGAGCACTGGTAAGTGCATTTGTCTTAGCGATGAAATAAATTTTCGATAAAACGGTGCTAAAAAGTTCAAACTGTTTCCAGCTATGCTTTGTCAGGAGCGCGCATGTTCGATCCAAATGCAGTTGATCAAACCTCAAAGTAAGTACCTCGCTGCTCATTGAAATTATAATTCTGGTTACGTTTGAGTTTCAAAATCAAGTGACGTTTCCGTCTTAAAGTTGAAGTTGTTTCGAAGAACAGATATGTGCTGGTTTTTTTTTTCAGACCAATTTCCAAAATATTATGTCATCCCTGATCAGGGGTGGATTCAGGGGGGGGGGGGGGTGCAGGCCTTCCTCAGGGATTTTACTCCCTGCCGACCGAAAGGGTCCTCCCTTTTGGACTATTTTGAGATATTCATATTTGGTGACGGACCCTAAGAATTTTCTAAAGGGGCCTTTGGCGCCAATATATACTAAGTTTTTATACTTAAGAATTTTCGAAAGGCGCCTTTGGCGCCAATATATACTAAGTTTGAGAGTGGAGCGCGCGCCAAAAAGTGCTTAAAAACGCTTTTTTGGCCTGTTTTTTCAAAAGTTTGCATGCGGCGCAGAAAATTTGGTCAAAATACGGTATTTTAAGTGCTTTGGGCGAGCTCGGAAAACCAATTTGGTAGACCTAAAAAAAACGAGGAAATTTTTGAAAATTTGAAAATCCCCCTTCGAGAAAATCTTAGATCCGCCCCTGGTTCTTTTTGGACCTCGCAGGGTGCGCACACCACTATATTAACCTACCACGAGTCTACTTAAACTGCTCGTTTTATACTCTGATGATGAAAGGTGAAAGGCGAATTTTGTATGAGTCGCGAATTGTCACACACTATGAAGTCGTTCCAAAATGAATTGAATTGAGGCAAAAAGCTAATTGACTTATGAAGATTCATGAACGTGGTGAAAAATCTTTTATAGGTCTTGGTGATTTTTTGCAGGAAAATTTGTTCAAGCTGAAAATTGGTTTTTGGCAGTTTGACTTTTGATTTTTTTTAACTTCACATCATTTGTTTTATTGAAAGGAAGACAAACTACACTATCGAACAGCGAAAGTATAAAAGTAGCAAAAAACGTGATCAATTTCTAGTTTCGAAATTGGATTTTAACTTGCAGATTTCCTAGCGGAATAATACGTTTAGGTATTGATTCAGTTTGCTCAAATTGGAGTATTTTTATCAATAAAGTTTCGATCATAAGTTGTTCTCGAAATTAAAAGAGTTTTAAGACCACATTTTTTTTGAAATTCGAAAGTTGAAGTTTTTCAAATGACGAAGTTGCAGTTTTCGTTCATGGTTCTTTTCCAACTGTCTGTTTGCTATGTTTAATCCTATTAAAGACTCTAATTTTAACACGTAGAATTTGATCTTATCGGCCTAAAGTTCACAGTTTGTGAATATTTAAATTACTAAAAACTGTTTGCGACCAGTTACCTTATCGAACAGTGAAAGTATAAAAGTAGCAAAAAACCTGATCAATTTCTAGTTTCGAAATTGGATTTTAACTTGCAGATTTCCTAGCAGAATAATAAATTTAGGTATTGATCCAGTTTGCTCAAATTGGAGTATTTTTATCAATAAAGTGTCAATCATAAGTTGTTCTCGAAATTAAAAGAGTTTTAAGACCACAAAAGAGTTTTAAGACCACAGTTTCAAGTTTTTCAAATAACGAAGTTGCAGTTTTCGTTCATGGCTCTTTTCCAACTGTCTGTTTGCTATGTTTAATCCTATTAAAGACTCTAATTTTAACACTTTTGATCTTATCGGCCTAAAGTTCACAGTTTGTGAATATTTAAATTACTAAAAACTGTTTGAGACCAGTTAAAGGGCAGTTGGAACATTCAGGGTTTTGCCGTGATTTACGAGCAGTCTTGTTTTCTTTTAGTTACATCAACGAAAACCGAGAACTTGTGATATCAACAAGTTCTAGTACCTTTGACGCGGCTTCGAATAGCATTGGAGAAGCAAGCAGTGCCCGAAAAAAGCTTGGCGATGACAAAAGACCATGCCAATTGTGCATGTCAAAAGGAGACAGACCCGAAAAGGTGAGTGGAAAAGTCGGCTATCTATATATCTAGTTAAATTGATTAAGCTGAATATTGAGTAAATTTTGAACCAGTCGTGAATCTGGGATATGGCTTGAAACCAGGCATAGATTCAGGGTTTCTCGAAATTAAAAGAGTTTTAAGACCACCAAAGAGTTTTAAGACCACAGTTTCAAGTTTTTCAAATAACGAAGTTGCAGTTATCGTTCATGGCTCTTTTCCAACTGTCTGTTTGCTATGTTTAATCCTATTAACGACTCTAATTTTAACTTTGAACAAGAGAGAATATTCGGGAGCTGAGATGAATTGAAACCCGGGGTGGATCTGAGAAATTATGGAATAGAGTTGACTTTACACCAACTGGTAGACTCAAGATTTTTAGCAGTTGAGAGTACTCTGAAATAGAGATGTATCTGGGATTTTTGACAGTGGAATTGACTTCAATTCTCGGTCGAATCTGGGATTTCGGAAGTTGAATAGACTGTAAACAGGAATGTGTTCGGAATTTTTGGGTCAGAGGAGCTTTGAATTTGAACCGGGCATGAATCCAGGTTTTTTGGGAGTGGAATTTATTTTGAACTTCAGTGGAGCTCACATTAAACCTGGGGCACATCTAGATTTTTCTAGAGAGATGATTTTGAACCAACGCCTGATGTAGGATTTTCGTGGATGCATTTGACTTCTAAGCCAGGGTGGATCTGGGATTTCCGTGGGCGTAATAGACTTAACACCAGGGGCTAATCTTGGGTTTTCGTGGGCAGAATTCATTTTGAACCAATGGTAGACATCGGCGGTTGTCCATAAAAAGCATGAAGTTCAAATTTGTCAAATGAAACTACAATGTAAGTTAGTTTAAAATTGTACCTAATTTAGGTAGTGTACATGTAAATTGACAGTTTGAAGCGTTTTTATGGTTCTGCTAACTGGGATATGTAAGCGAGCTGGCCACTTGGTCCAAAATTTTGAATGGAATAAGAAAGTTGAACCAGGATCCAGTATTCCTTCTGACGAATGGCGGTAATACAGTTTGTTGAACAAGAGAGGGTTTACTATCGAACAGAGAATCATTCCATAAACCGTAATTAAGTTCGCATCCAAAATGCTCGGTTGCCATCGGTATTTTATGCTATTTTATCTGCAAGAATAGATGTGGAGGAATTGATTTGATCTGAAGTGTACTTGTAGTCGCGAACAAGACATTTTTCCCGTAATGAAACTTTTACAAATTGATTGATTTGATTTGAAGTGTACTTGTAGTCGCGAACAAGACATTTTTCCCGTAATGAAATTTTACAAATATGTTAGAAATTGACCTTGATTTGGGGACCAAGTGTACTTGTAGTCGCGAACAAGGCATTTTTCCCGTATTGAACTTTTACAAATCTGTTAGAAATTGACCTTGCTGTTGTGGAAATTCGGTAACTTCCAAGCCCTTCCTATTTGGTCTAGAGATGTTTTGAGGTTAAAAGGAAGTGCTTGTTGGAAATCCCAAAAAAATGAGGTTCGAATACCAGGTGTGAACTAGTTTTTTACGAATAATTTTTTCTGCAAGAACTTGAATCCTTGTCTGCTCAATCGCCTACTTTTTTTGCTTTCCAAAGCATGGATTTTCTTGAAGGCTCAGGGAGATCAACTTTTTAAGAGTTGTATCTAAGGTTTGTAAAAATACAGTTAATAGACTTTTCGGCTGAAGGGTTCCTTATATGTCGATCCGTTTAGCTGCCTCATTTAGGTCTTTTAAAGGGCGAAATCAGTTTGAGAATTTTTTAAAAGAGTTTTAAAATGCTGTAATATTTTACAGAAGTGTATTTATACATATTAATGCATTTATGAATGCTTCTAGGTATATATGTACTATTTGAGTTCAATTAAATTTCATCTGCTGAAGGTTAGCTAAATTGCGCTCTCCGATTACAAAAATCTAAAGGTAACGAAAAACGTGATCGGCGTCTAGTTTTGAGAGTGGAATTTAATATTCCGATTTCCAGGCGGAATGTAAATTTTATCTAATGATCCATTTTTCTCAAATTGATTTTATCAAAAAATTTCCATCATAAATTTTTCTTGAAATTCAAAGAGCTGTAAAGCTCTATGTTTTATACTTTGACATTGTAAAGACGGCGTTTTTTTTCAAGAAAACTGGACAGTTTTTAAGATGAACGTAGTGAAAACTCTCTTATAGGTCTTGCTGATTTTTTAGTTTTTTTTCAGGAAAAGTCCTAAAATTTGTTCACGCTCAATTTTGATTATTCGCGGTTTGACTTGTGATTTCTTTTTAAGTTCAGTGCATTTTTATTGTTAAAAGGAAGGCAAACTCCACTTTTGAACAGCAAATTGTAAAGGTCACCTAAACCGTGATCGACTTCTAATTTTGAAAATGGAAATTGATTATCTGATTTCCCAGCAAAATAAAAGTTTTACCTATTGATCCAGCTTTCTCAAACTGGGTTAAATTTTTTTAAAAGGTGTCCATCATAAATTGTTCTACAAATTCAAAGAGCTTTAAGGCCATCTAATTTTTAATTCGAAATTCAATAGTTAAAGATTTTAGAAAAAAAAAACAAGTCGTTTTTTTTCAATTTTGCGTTCATTGACTCAGAATTGCAATACTGAGTCACATCGGAATTGCCACACTAATTCACATCAACTTATAAAGATTTTTGCTTCGGCTGTGTGAAATTTATTCGACAGCGTACTCATGCAAGGGCCATATCGCGTGATGCGAATTTTGGCAATAAAATCAACATTTGAAAGTCTGGTTGGTATGTCGAAAATGTCTAGGGCTTTATTAAGCTTGAGTGATCTTGTTTTTAATCATTGAGAGCAAATCATTCCCAAAGATTTTTCTTTCAAACTTGAATTCATCAGGAAAATTAACACAATATTCTACAGATGTCTAATAGATTAATTGACCAAAGGTTGGGATGTACTTTTACTGCTTGTCGTACATTGGCTGAAGAATTTACTGAGGAAATTAGAGAATCCAGGTTTCCTCCAAGTATCCTGCTGTTTGCCACGTCTCGGTTTCAATTGGTCCAGTTCCAATCGAATAGTCGGCCTCCGTTGTCTATCGATAGTATCATACACCTCGAACCAGAACAGGTCCATAGCGTTATGTGTTAGATGTGCTTCAGAGAAAGGGTACTGAATTTGTCTCCATTCTTTTTTAAACGCTCCTAGTTCTACCCATTTAAGAAGACTTGTAGACGGAGTACTTCCGTTTAGATATCCATTTTGGTAGTCTGTCACCAGTTTTACTAGGCCTGTCATACTTTGGTTGCAGTTAAGGACGAACGTTGCGATGTCGCTTTTCTCGGAGAGGTTCATACTGCTTCCAAGAATCATTATTGCTTCAGCTTTGTGGTAACTTTTCAGTTGGGCAAATTTTTCACGCTGTTTTTCCATCGACTCACGAGAATCAATTTTGAAGGGCTCTATGTGAATTTTAACTGGTTTGTCTATCTTACTGTCCTCTGTGAAAATTGATTGGTCAATTGGACCGCCTCGTGTTAAGTGTTGGTGCACACACAGAATAACCGAATACTCTGGAAGACTTTCTCTTCTCTCAAGAATGCTGCCATATTTCTTGCGTAGTTCCTGCTCTTTTCGAATGCCTCTTTTGTACTGAATTCTCTGCTTCGCCCTTTGGAATAGAGGTGCTTTTTGATCACTGTTGGTGATAGTTTTCACAACTTGTTTCCAGAATGACATGTACTCTTCTGTAAGCAGCGGACTCTGGTCTCTGCGATTGCAAGGGTAGTTAAACATCTTGTACTGGAACTCGGTGCCGATGTTGTTCTCTCGTTTCCATGTCTCTATGTCTATGTTACGTTGTTGAAAAAGCTCTACCGATTGGTCGGGCTGAAAAAAAATACTAGATTCGAAAAAATTGAAACATATTAGTTGTGATGCAATTGATCGAAAAAAACTTAGCATAACGAGCAAGCACAAAAAAATCTTACCAATGAAACTCTTGTAGAATAGTCCATGACAATTAGTTTCTTCCCCGTGTAAATCAAATGTTGTACTGCTTGGATGCCAAATACATTAAGAAACGTCTTCAATTCCACTTCTTGATTTGATTTTTCGCCAGCGTAAACCAAAAGAACACCTTGAGCATTACTCAAATCATTTTTGAATTTCTCGAAAACAGTTCTGGAAACTTGACCCGGCGTTGAATGCGTATTTGATCCAGTTGCCTCGGAAATTAAGTTTTCCATAACTTCACAGGTAATCTTCAGGTGGTAAGATTTCCCATCGTCTCCTTGTATTTTGAGAGATTTGAACTCCACTAATGGTTCAGGTCGCTTTTTGATCAAGCCTTTTGCATAAAAAATGGCCAATGTGCATTCGGTGGTGTCGTTATTGCGAGAACTTGTCTAAAAGTTGAAAGTTTTTTTTTAATATATACGAAGTGTGCGAATAAGTTTTCACTTTCTTGTGAAAAAGTTAAGGTTATGTTAATTTTTTCAGTAAGAAGATTCAATTTGTTGACGCTCAAACTTTAGGTTAATTTTTTCGCTGAGTTCATCAACACTTTTCAAATGTCTTTTAGCTTTGTTGATTTGGTTAAAGTGAAGATGACTAACTTGAGATGCCTTTGTGGTTTTTCGAAAGGAATTTTTGCTGCGCGTCTTTCTAGATGTCTCTGGGCTAGCAGAAATATCTTGCCTGCTGGTTTTGACAAAATCGAAACTAAAAACACTGAAGTTTAATTTGAAATTCTTGATGATAATTTTGAACTTGATTGAAACTTAGAAATCTTACTCTTCAACATGAGCGATTTGACTGCTCGAATAAACTGTGCTCTGCTTTGAGGGGTATGCAGCTTTGCTTGAACGCAGCCCCATTGACAAATCCAGGTCAGCATTCCAAGAGGTATTTAATCCAGACATTACACTAGCACTTGCACCAATAGCCAAGGCGTCTCGTTGAATTAAGTCTCGAGATTTTCGAGGTGTTATTGGAGTTTCTGGAATCAGTATGTTCTTAACAGAATTTGGACTGTTATAATCTTCTGACTCGGATTGGTTTTCCTTGCTGTTTACCCTAATGTTGATGGAGCGGCGAGTTTGTCTGACATCATCATATATTGTGTCTCTTCGCCACAAGATTGCTGATGTGAAGCCAGAGTTTGTCTTTCAAATGACATATTTGATCTTGATTCCTTTTAAGATGGCAACTGTTTGAAGCTCTGATTGACTGACGACAGTTTTGTTTCGGTTTGATGTTATTTTGGAACCATTGTGCAATTTGAATTTGATGTTTGCCTTGATTTGCAATCAATCTTTTGTGTTGATATTAGGCTTTGTTTTCTATTGTAAGGATATTTTTACCATGGTTTTGTAACAAGACAAACAGGGAGGTCATGTGGTTTATGAAATTGGTTAGTTCTAAATAATGAAATTTAATGCATACATGTTTACTGGAAAGTTGAAGTTCAGTTTAATCTTTGCGTTAAGATAAGAGATAAAAGTAATTGTTCAATTTTTTAAGCTTTACGGTGTAATATAGCAAATACGTTTTGCGAATTCTAAATTTTGTCGTCTGTTTTCAGCTGGAAGGCCGACTGATGTACTGTGGTCAGGACGAATGGGTACATGTGAACTGCGCTGTCTGGTCGAGCGAAGTGGACGAATGTGAAGCCGGATCTGCCAGTCTTCGCAATGTGTTCGCAGCCATTCATCGTGGCAAGTCCATGAGATGCGACTTCTGCAAAGAGCATGGTGCAACAATAGGCTGCGCAGTTAATCAGTGCAATGTGCAATACCATTTCACGTGTGCGAGACAGACCAACTTTGTGTTTTTGGCATGTGGGAAGACATACTGTCTACAACATAGACATGTTCCAAATGCTGACCAAATAGTAGTGAAAGACTTCAGGTTAGAAAAAACTGTTCTTGGTCAGTTCAGGTCAATTTGCAGTTGTGAACATTTTCAGTTATCGCGTTAAGTTAATATGATCTCAGTTGGAGTCTTTAATTCGTACTCGTTAATAAAAATGATCGATGATCTAGCTTTCCTGAGGAACTATGTTGTAAGCATTCTTTAATAAGTTATCTGAAAAGAAAGGGTGCACGCTTTACTGAAACCCTCGATTTCAGCGTCACCATTAATCTGATGTATTGAAATTCTCGTCTAAGCTTATGCGTTTATGCTGACAGGCTTTTTATGGATAATGATAATTTAAAGAGTAATCAAATTCTTTCGTTGTTACAGGGTGCGCAGACGTGTTCATGTGGATCTGGAGGAAATCAGATGGAAAAAGAAAGGCGTTAATAATGACCCGTTGTCTAGCTCAGTCAAAAACATAACATTTAATCACAATTGTTCCTCTCAAACTACCGGATTGAACTCTACATCAGTTGCAGATGAGCGAAACAACAACGCAATAGTTTCTGATGTTCCACTGTCGACACAAAACAATTCGTCTCATAATCAATCAAGTTTGTTCTCTAATGCCCAACTGAACCTGAAAGACGTGAGATTACAAGTGGGGTCTTTGAGAGTGGAAAGTGTTTGTGGAACAAAGAGTGAAAAGAGCAATAAGCTTAATGCAAATCCACTGTCGTCCTTGTCTGATACAAAAAACGCTATTATACCAGTATCATATGAAGCAACGAGGTGAGTTTCTTTAAGATATGCTTTACAAATTACCAGAGAATTTCATTTTAGTGGCCTGTGGTTAGGCTCCAGTATATTCTAGAGAAAAAAGTAATGCAACAAAATTTTTCTCTTAAAGCTTGTGATCACTAGAAACTTTTATTCTGTGTGTGAAAACATCACGTTGTAAGCATGCTTCTGGCCTGATTCGAATGAAATCTACCTACATTGAGCCCCTAAAATAAGAGAAACTAAATTAATGAAACTTTGTTATGGAACATACCAGTAAGTACTTTAAACTTTTGTTTCAATTTCTGAGATTCATATTTAAACCGCTTGTGGTTTTAAAGTTCAAATACCCACGTAATTTTTGGCTCACTGGCTGCTCCGTAAAAGCTTTTTTTTTTGTGGTGGTTGTATTTCTCAGGTTTTTTTTTTAAATTTGACATTTTTGAATGTAACCAATGTAATCATTTTTTATGAAAAATATTTTACTGTAGTTTCCTATTCCTACTTTTTTCGACTGTTAATTTTGTCTCATCTTTTATTCACAAGATTTTTTGCTAAGATTCGTTTTGTTGAAGTGATGAGAAAGTTCGATTCGAATCTGTGTTTATTTTTGCTGCATTGTTCTATATCTTGGTATCTGATTTATTGGTAGCTAGTTGTTTTAATCTGAAAGGTCGGGGGTTTTTTCCGATACAAAACAGAATTTCCTCTTAATATATTTTTAACTTTCTTCCACTTTTTGGCCATTTAGAGCTACTTTTTGCCGTTTTCTTGCTTGTTTTTTTTTTGAAAAGTGGAGATTTGCCTTTAGTTTATTCCTTTATTGTCTTAATTTACTAAATCTGATTTTTGTAATTTCATTTTTTCGGGCTATCTTATATGTTAAACGAAAGTATTTGGACGCAGTATATTAGCTTTTTATCAAGCGGAACCTTTAAGAAGGTTAAGATCAGAAAATTTACGAATCATTGAGAGCAACCATCGAGCAACCAAAGCTTGAAAGGCATTCAGGCAAGAACTTTCTAGTTTTTTCAATCATTTTGATGTCTGGAAAATTCTAGAATTCTTGTTGGAAAAATTCTGAAGCTCCAAGCAAGATGAACTCGATTCAAGTCAATTCTAGTTAGTACCTTCCCCTTTTTTGTCCATACTTTTGCGTTTACGGATTTATTTCAGTCTGAAACGAATCAGCTAAAAACAGCAACCATCATGCTCAGAAAAATTAATTTTTCGCTAAGGGATTCGCGATTTATGAAATAACTTGGAATTTTTCCAAGTGTCTTAGCCTGAATAGCTTGCTTAGAAAAACGTAGCGTTTTGCGAACCGGTTTATTCTACTAAATTACTTGAATATTTTCAAGTTTCATAGCTTGAATGAATAGCTTGCTTGAAAGCTTGAACTTTTCGTCAACCGATTCAGCCAATGAATTGGCTTGAAATATTTTAAAGCTTCGCAATCGTAGCTTGGATAGCTTGCTGGGAAAAACTTCTTGTGAACTGATTCGGTCTATAAAACAACTGGAAATGTTTCTTCACTGGAAAAGTTTTTTCACTGAAATAGCGTTCTGAAAAACACTAAATTTTTCTTCATCCGATTCGCTTCATTAAATAACTTGAAAAGTTTTGTAGCTTGAGCAGCGCGCTTAAAAAATTTGATGTTTTGCAGATCGATTTGCTCTATGAAATTATTTGAAATGTTTTTGTTTTATTGCTTGATTGGCTTCAATATAAAAACTTTTCTTCATTCCATTCGCTTCCATTCAAAAAATTCATAGCTTGCTTGAATAATTGCTTAGATTTTTTTGAACTTTTCAAAACCGATTTGATCTATGAAATATATTAAAATATTTCAAAGTTTTGTCGGTTGAACAGCGTGTTTTAGAAAAACTTGATTGTTTGCTGAGTGATTTGCTCTATAAAATATTTTGAAGTGTTTCAAAGTTTTTCGCTTTAAAGCCTGCATAGAAAAACTTGATTTTTTTTCTTGCGAATCAGTTTGCTCTATGGAATAACAAGAAATATGTATGAGTTTCATCGCTTAAATGGCTCCAATAGAAAAACTTCTACTTTTTGCAATCGGACTCCTTTCAAGAAAAGTTTTTCATTGCTTGAATATTTTCTCTAAGAAAACTTTTTGCTAAATGATTCGTTCTAAGAACCAATTTGAAATATTTCATCAAAGTTGCGTTGCTTAAATGGTTCCAATAAAAAATAGCTTCACTATCTGAATTGCTTCGTGAAAAACTTGAAATGTCTCAAAGTTTGATAGCTTAGTTAGCTTACTTCGAAAAACTGAAATTTGCTCCATGAATTAACTTCAAACATTCAAATTGTCATTGCTTGAATAGCGTGCTTTGAAAAACTTCAACTTTTCTCGAACTGATTTGAACTGAATTTGAAAGTTTTATGACCGATTTTTGATATTTCTTAACTTTAAATTGTTGGAATTCTCCTTGCTTGTATAACTTGATCAGAACAAGAAGTAATTTTTTGCAATCCGATTGATCAATTGAGACGGGCTTGCTAGTTTGCTTTATTTGCCTCAATCGTTCCGGCTTAATGACCTAATTTTGCGTTGTTTACGGTTAAAAAGTTTCAAAACGACAACGTTTTTGCTTTCGGCTCAATGAGAGTTTGCCTAACTATAGTCGTACTAGTTCCTTCTCGATGACTGTTTCTGATGACTTATTTAATGCCCTTGATTGTGTTTCTGGACCTGTTTTCTTCAATTAGAACATCGTTTCAGCCGAAGTTTTGAAATTGTTGTTTTTTGTGTGGTATCTGTTTGCGTGGTTTCACAAGTGGAAATAGCTAATTTTTTGCCTAGCAAAACATTTTTTGAAAAAGACAGGCCGATAATGACGTTCTGAATTTTTCTTAAGATTTAGGCCAAATTAGTTTTGCGCGCGCGGTTTTCAAAATAAGCCGAATTTGAAGTCGAAGGCGCCTGTAAAAGCTAACGGCTAGTAGGCCAAAAATACATATCGTAAAATTGTACCGAAGAGGGATTATTTGGGCTCTTAGAGTGTCGAATTTAGACAGATAGCCCCCCCCCCCAATCGCCTCTGTTACGAACACTTGTGGGCAGTTGTTGTTTTCAACGTCTTTCCGAAGCTCTTCGAAAGTAGTCCTGAGATCGAGAGCCTAGTTGTAAAAAGTTGAGGTTAAACCAGTCATGGGCCCTAATGTGTGACAATCAAAATGATCAGATGATCCTATCAGTTGGCTTTCCAATATTTATAGCTTTAGACATTATGAAGTTATAATACTGAAGTTTTGCAGTTGGACGTCCAAAGGAGAAACGTTGATTTTGATTTGGCTTTTTTGGAGATCTATTATTCTGGTTACGTTAAAACCGTACAAATATATTAGACATATCTTAAAAAATAACCAAGTGCCGAAAATGAGACGCCTATCTCGAATTGTTAATTAATTAAAATGTTACCATTCAGAAACAAGTGTGATAGAGGGAGTCCCAGAAATCTGACAGAACCCCTAATGAAAATACTGTGTCTTTACACTTGCTGAGCAAAGTGTATAAGGGCGAACTTTCTTCTTTTGGTGGCAGTTTTGAATAGGCTGCGGTAGCAGTATAATATGTGCTTTGATATTTGATTTTAAAAAAGTTAACAACTAATGCATTTTTAATTTAAGTGAACCAAAAAAGCTTTTTATTTCAAACAACAGTATAATGTGAAAAAGCTAGATTTCAGAAATTTTCCAACTCAAGGTATCTCGCAACTTTTTTGAAATGCATAATTTATACATAATTTGGCTTTATGCTTTCCAATTTGTTATATGCAAAATTGTGTCTTTTTGTATTTGGTGCTACTTTTGCTGCATGGAATTGGTAATTTAATAGCATATGTACCTGCGTCATTGTAGGCTAGGTTTTGGGGATTTTATGCATCCGTGGTTAGTGCGTGAGACTCAAATGGGCTATGACGCAGATTCGAATCCGACAGGTAGCCGAGTTTTTGCTAATTCGAGGCCTATTTCTACTTTTGCTTATTTCATTTGATAGAGCTGCTTTTCGGTCGTGTTTTCACAAGTGTTTGCGAAGCGCAGCTTCCCTTCTTTGTTACGTTTTTCATTTTATTGTTTCGGCGAAAGCATTATTTAGCGCTAATGAATGAGGCAGGCTAATTACGGTAAACGTAGTGTTGCGTGATTTTAATCAATTGATTTAAATCATTGATTTAAATCCGATCTTGATTTTAATCAGACGTTTTGTTCGATTCAAATCAAAGATTTTCGATTCAAATCAAAATTTTCTGAGTTTGTGTCGTGTTTCTCCCTCCAATTATACGCTAACTTTTACCTACCAAATTTGGTTCTAAAGGTTCTAAACCAAAATTGAAAGTTGATCAACTGTTTCCATAATACTTTTCGTTTCAACGACTTTTCTACTTTTTTTGATTTTTCTACGGTACTCGGCAGTTTTTGAAAAAATCGGATTTAAAAATAAAAAAATTGATATAAATCAAAAAAATCCGATTCATGTATTTTTTATTTAAATAGTACTTTTATGATACCCTTATCAAACATGGAAACTACCGAGCGGCGCAGTTGTGTAGCAACGGGTGAATGAACAGACTCGCCTTCCGGTCAACTAGCATACATATGAATATGAACTGTTTAATGACTCAAAGAATGCAATGTCGGCTCTCGGTTTAAGTTCGCCCGTGGTTGACAATAATCTTCTCCAATTTTCGCATCATGTCTTACCTGTTGTTGACAAGCTCACAAGAAGTTGACCCACCGTGGTCGTCAGTATTTTTCTGCTTAAGTTGTTTTGACTTTATGCGTTTGAAAAACAGACAATTAGTGTATTAGTCTTTGATTCGAAATTCGACCGATTGCAAATTGTTTTTCACAGGTTGGCAGCAAAACTAGGTATAATCAGCAGTTTAATTAGAGAGCGATAAAAGAGTAGTAAATCAACTTCTATATATATGGAAAGTTAACCGCCTGTTGAGATCTGATCTCGTGATATGACATCGCGCGATATC